CATATGGGCGAATGGCGAAGAATGAATAGCATTCGAATGTGTGAAATCCCTCCGCTAACTTTTACAGAGTTTCATTGCTGGCGTCAAATCATATATCTGCCGCATCCCTACACCTAGTTTGCCGCCGCGACAGTTTGGCACCAAAGATTTTGAGGGGTACAACAAAAATTTGGAAATTTGGATCGTGTTCCCGCACTACACGCATCGATATCAGGCTCAAGGTTCAAGAAAAGACATAGGTCATATGAAGGACTGACCAACCTTTTTCGCAAAAAGTGAAAGCGATAGAGCAGGCATTGGCAACACATTACATATGTATGGCTTTGTAGTCTCTAAGAGCAGCCCATAAAAAGGGATCTGATGCTTCACTGAGCGTCCCTCACTATCAGCACGTGCGTCCAGCGACTCTTAAATAACTGATGTTCTTGTTGTTGAATGATCAAAAAGAAAAAGAATAGCATACCTGCATGGTACTGCGCAATGGAGGAGTTTGGATGTATCAAACTGAATGGTTTCATTCGCGTATGAACGAAAAGCTCCTGTCCATGCTAAAATTGAAGAAAGTCAGAAACAATTACAAGAAATCAAAGAGGCGATAAACTATTCGTAATCAATATAAGGTAACAAAAAAACGACTGGTAAATAGAATCCAAAAACTAGATCACGAAAGAGAATGTCGGAAACGAATAACCATCCTTCTTCGAATACCCCCTTTTATAAACGTACATATTCTGCCTCATGAATCCGCTTTCAGTCATTTTCTTTCAATTTTTATTCAAAGAAGCTGACCTGGTACTTATTCATTGGATCGGGAACGGTGTACTGCGGGTACAGACCTGCGGCAATCACAACTCGGATAAGCTTGAAAAGAATGATTCAAAAATAAAACACTGAAAAAAGTCAAAAACGCATACACACCTCTGCATCTTTCCTTCTAAATTTGTGAGTGCGACGAATTAACTCCACATCTCGTTGTTTATAACTCAAGAGGAACTCGACCGTCTTCACATCAGCTTTCATAGGATCTTGCTCGTTTTCTGGAATGGTACGAGTACGCGTGTCGTAGGAAGGGAGAATCGCTACCTAGATCCTCTTCTTCTTTGTCGTTCAAAATCGAGTCGAAGTGTTTATCAGCTCGTAGAACTTTGCGTGTCTTTTCCATATTTCTAAATCGAGAGGTTTCTTCTCATACTTCAATTAAACCTTCCTTACCTAGCTTCGCGTTTCATATCTAGCAACTTCTTTTTGTCGCCCTGATCGATTCGACGCTGTCGAGAATCATCCTGTCCGAGTTCATGAGCATCAGGTTTGTCGATCAATCCAGCATCTTCAAGAATTTGTCTAGAAAACTTTACCATCGGGCGCAGCAGACGGCGAGATTATGAATGACAAACCTATACTGAGCGCGTAACTTGCT